ACCCAGGGACTCTCTCTTTATACATATAAACAGTAGAACTGCCCAATAGTGTTTCCATTTCCAAGGCTATAAATTTTTATGGAAGCAGACTGCTTCAACTTCCTCCTGCAGAGTGGCTGGTGTGTTTGAACCACCGACCTTTTGGTTGGCAGTTGAATCCTTTAACTATTGTGCCACCAGAGCTCCTATATATATATAATGTTATATTTATAAATTATATGACTTAATGGCAATTTTTTTGGTATATATATATATATATATATATATATATATACATATACACACACACATACACACACACACACTTTATACACACACACACGTGTGTGTTATTGAGTGCAGTAACTCAGTGCAGTGAAAATTGAGGGTAGTCCAATTCTTTACTAAGGTTTGGGAAGCCAACATTCTTCCAGAGTTAAGCTTCCTAATCTGTGTGAGGACTTTGATCACTAGATGCTTTGAGAGTCCCATCATCCATCCATTTTCTTCCCCCACGCCCCTACAACCCAGCTGTCTCCTTGTGTGGCCAAAGAGTAAAGGAAAATAATCAAGGGTGAGAGGCTGATTTAACATGAGCAATGACTGTGTATACTACAGTTCCATACTGTCATATTACCATACCTTTTTAAGAGGGAACATATGAAAAAAAAAATAAAAACAACAACAAAATGAACACCGTGGTTATGGCTATGTACTCAAAGGCTTGAGTAACAGTGCATATGACCACATATTGCTGTTGTGACTTCAAAACAGGCTACTTTAAAAAGCATTCTAAGAATTGGGAAACTCCAAGTTTTATTCAAAAGACTCAAGCCTCTGTCACAGCACAGTGCTAGAATTAGCAAGGACTGAAATCAAAAGGAGGCTCTTGGTTATAATGTAAATGAGTTATATTCTCAACCTTTACAGAATACATGTATAAATGGAAATCATATTTTTATTTACTCTTAAACTGTTACCAAAGACATTTTCCATCATACCACTCATTTGTCCCTATATAAGTTCCCGTATAAAAATAAATTTCTCAGAATGTAGCACTGGGAAAATATTTACATCTTTTAAAAAATAAAAACTGGCATGTTTCATCGCATTAGATAATCAGAATTTTTCATCCAGTCTACTACAATAGCCTCTCAACTGGTCTCCCTGTTTTCATGCTTAACCTTCTATAGTCCATTCTCCCACAATAGCCAGAATGATTTATTCTTTTATATGTAAATCAAATCATATCAATACCCTGGCAAAACCCTTCTAAAAATCTCATCGCACTTAGAATAAAATGCAAAGCCTTTCAGGACCCACAAGGTCTAATATGCTCAGCCCCAGGCTGCAGTTTTTCCGTCATTTCTCACTGCTTTCCCTTCTCTGTGCCATGCTTGGCACACTATCTCCTTGTTGCTCACACTCTAAGGGCCTCCATGCCCATTGTTCCTGCTGTCTGGAATGCTCTTCTTCCTGCCCCTCATGTGACATGCAACATTGCTTCATTCATCTCTCTCATCCAGTGTCACTTCTTCAGAGTCCTTACTAACTCCTTTAAAAGAACCCCATAACTCTCTATTCCCTTAACTTGCTTTGATTTTCCTCATAGCCATCATTTACCCTCTGACATTTTGTTGTTTTTGTGGGCCTTTGAGTCAATTCCTACAGACGAGAGTATAACCACACCACAGAGCTTCTCAGGCTGTAATCTTTATAGCAGCAGATTGCCAGGTCTCTCCTCCCACGGGCTGCTGGGTGGGTTTAAATCTCTGACCTCTCAGTTACCAGCTAAAGCACTTGACAGTTATGCAGCCAGGGCTCCTTTATTACATTAAGCATTTAGTTCTTAAATGCCTGTGTTGCTCTATTAGAATGTAAGCTCTTTGAGAGCAGGAATTTTTGTCTGATTTGTTCATTGCTGTATCCCAAATGCTTAGAACAGTATATATAATAGGCACTCAGTTCATAATTTGCTGAACCTAAAAATTAATGTATTTTGTATTTTGTTTTGATTTGTTTGCTCTAGTTGGTAGGAAGCATAGTTTTAAATTTAATGCTGAGTCATAGTAAACATACCAGCCATCATGTTGAGCATATATATTTCTTTCTTCTTTTTTAATATTCTGTTCTATTCTTATTCTAATAAACTCATATTTATGATTTACTTCTAAATCTTTTGGAATGTGACACAGAAATACACTAATTGTTAGGAGGGTTGAGTTCCTGGGAGGAAATCCAATTAAGGGGGAAATGGTTAAATGTATTTGTCTATCAGAAGTACTGCTTGAATATGATTCAAGACAGAC